GGCCTCATGCCCCGTGATAGACTGGCATCCCACCCAGAGTGTACCTCGGCCTCATGCCCCGTGATAGACTGGCATCCCACCCAGAGTGTACCTCGGCCTCATGCCCCGCGATAGACTGGCATGACCTGGACACTGGCGATTTGTACTTTTTGAAGGGGATGTCACTCCTGGCTTTTTTAGATATAAAGAGAATATATCAATCAAATGCAAAGTTCCCTCGGTTTTTCTGTCCAGGTTTTCCTTCTGTAACAGGCTACATGACTTTTCTTACAGCCACAGAATTCATGCCTTCGTATAGAACTCTATTAAAGATGGTATTAAAGTCACAGAGCCATGGGATGACCCGTTCTTTGTCAACTTGGTTGTAGGGTTAAAATGAGCCCGAATTCAGACCCCCTTTGAGAACCCCCCCCCCCGAACAAAGAGCCAATCTCCTGCTTTTGGGGCCGGTTGGGCAGGATGCCATTATAACAGTTGGAAGGATAACATCCCCCACTCACCCCAAAATGGATTTATTTCTCTATAAATGATGGCTACATCCTGAAATGGATTTATTTAATGAATTGTTGCCCTATTGGTTTAAAAGCTTTTTTGTCCAGCTATGATTGATATCACCCCGCTGAAGTCCACCTTGTTTAGTGGTCCTTTCTTCTTAGTTATTCTATCATCATCACGGCTATAATTTACCAATCATATTAATGCTGATTAATTACGAAGAATAGTTCACGCTCCTGCATCAGCGCTGGGCTGCGCATGATGCGCTGGGTTGCGCAGCCTGCGATCCGGCCCGACTGCTGGCAGCTTTAGCCATCGGGGTAAATCACTCCGTCGGCGTGTCGGAGCTGCAGAGCGCGGAAAAAAAAAAAATGCGCTAAGTTAGGCCTCGCATGTTTTTTCTTCTTCTCTCCCATCGGCGGCTCGGCTGCATGAAGGACGAGCTCCGCTACCGCTGCCCCGGCCCGGGAAGCTTCCAGCTGTCGAAGGCGTCTGGCGCATTGGGAGGGGCGCTGTTTATAAGAGCACAGGCCCTTATGTAAGCACGCATGTTTGCCTGCGAGATGCGTCCCAGCAGTTTATCAGCATATAAATGCACGGCAAACCGATTTTTTCCAGGGGCAAAAACCATGATGTCCAGTGCATCGCGATAAATCTCTACAGGTTTTTGTGCTGAGCTTCTAGAAGATTTGAATATCCTTTTCTGGGCTGCAGAATATCTACATTCAGTGCATTGCAGTTTAGATATTATATTCTGCATCTTAAAAGCCCACCTCTCCTCAAACACGGGTCAGCAAATGGAAAAGGTGCCAGAACTACAGCACTACATGACTTTATTTATTTGCTTGGTCGGGATTTGAACCTATAACCCTCCTGTCAGAATTCCAGCTTTGTGACCTTTAGTGCCAACTACTTCCCCCTGAGATGTGACAGAGATCCTCTCAGATGCCCCACGGTGCGAGTGAAGCCTAATCTCACAGTGTTCTCACTTCAGGGAGCAAGGCCCTTCAGGAAGACAGTGGGAGGTGGGCTCCATTCCCACTGCTGCAACATAGGAAGCATCCAGATGTTCAGGCTTCTGGTGGAGTGTGGAGGAGGGTCGCGTTTCTCCCTTTCTAACAGTGATGGAGCTCCAGCCCACACTGACTTACCTCTAAGACTTCAGATTCTGTGGAGCTTAACTAACAGATGCCTCCTTCTGAGCTTCATAACTCTCCTTCCGCCCACGAGCGGCGGCCGCACGTGTCTGTGATGTCATGTGTCTCATTAGCATAAAATTCAGCCTAAAGGTACCCATATGTTGCAGGAATATAATGTTTCTGTCATCTGTGTGTGTGTGAGGGGGGTGGTGGCTTATATATAGAAGCCATGGAGTTAATGCCAGAAAAAAAGAGAGATACCTTCCAATGTTGTTTAGCAAAAATTCAGGCATTCAAACCAATGAGATTATATCTGTGATATTGTCCCATCTGCAACTCACATATTGGTTTTACCAAACAATAAACTGAAATTCTACGACTACCCTGTTTGAAGATCCCCAAATTCTTTGCCTAGACAAGTGTCTGTAGGGAAGGCAATTTATGTTGGATTCCACCACACACCCACTCACTTTATTTTTTTACACTCTCCCTCCCTCGTTTCCGCTGTCTTGTCTCACTGCTGCGAGCCCCCTTATTGCGCTGGGGTGTGTCAGCCTTTCACTGCGTGGCACCGGGGGGGTTGGAGGTTTGCAGGGATCCCCTGTTTTGTCCCGTTTTGCAGAACGCCACGCTGAGATACGCCGAGACGGCTGAGATGCGCCAACTCGTGCTAGAACTCGCCGTTCCATTCTGCTTCTGTTTTCCCATTTCACATGGTGGATAATCTGTACGGGGCGCCGAGCCGGATTCGGAGGTGATGACCGCTGTTCATGTGCGACACGGCTGTACCTCTATACACACCACACATATTCATGCCGGTAGCCGACACTGATCGCAAATCAGTTCTTTATTTTCATTTACCCTCTTCAAGTGCCCTTAATCCTGAACTGTCACTTTAAGACAGTTTGCATCTGCTCCTCTAAGTCTATTGCCTTGTAAAATGCCTTTATGCAGGTGTCACAGCGGAGGGCACACTGTCTGCAATAAAGCGAAGGGGTGCATTACCGAGGCAGCGTATGAGAGGTGACATCCTTCGTTCTGCGTCAGCGCGGTGAAACCGGGTTACACGGAGGAGGTGGCCGGGTTGCCAGTCGGCCGGGGCGGACCAGAACCCCTCGCAGCTGACTCACCGGCATGCCGCATTGAATCGAGATGCAGAAAGAAAGGGTGAAATTTAGAATGAAGGATGACAGACGAGAAAAAGGGGGAGTGGGCGAGAATATTACATAATCCGCCTGATCTTGCCATAATGCACGGCGAGTCTTGAATCTCGCCTAATTAGGGTCTCTTTGTTCAAAGAGCAAAGGAAGTTTATGCAGGACTTAGGCACTGAAGTTTGAGCGGAAAAAAAACAAGAGCGAACATGAGTTTTTGCTTTTGGCTCCTTCAGCCTGAGCTCTGTGATGGGAGACTCTAGGGGCCGGTTTCCGGTGACGGCTCCACACAGGGACACTCACTTTCAGTCGTCCCCACAAAACCAGCTGTGCAGAATCTCCATTGCCAAACTGCTTATGATGGGTGCCATGCTAGACCAAACCCGATGAACAGATCCATCCACCGATTCGACCTCCTCACTTCCAGCAGACACGCCTCCCTGTGGGGACCCCTGAAAATGGACAGCGCGTGTTACTCTGGGATTGCTTGGGGTTTTCCGGCCTCAGCCCCCACGCCAATGACTTCAGATGAACTAAAGACTTTAAATATCCCTTATTGTGCTAATAAACATAATGTAATGCAAACTGGGGGATACTGGAATCAGATCATAGGGCCCAATCTGCAGTGTCCCCTGCCCTGTCACCTGTCCTTTACGGGCTAAAGCCCAGGCTCCTAAACACAACACTGCTATTGGCAACAATGACTGTATGGATGCTTGACATCAGGTCTAAGGGGTGTTTCAGAGATGGGCATTACCTTCCAGCATCCATGGATTGGTTTAGCAGTCGTTGTTTCTGCTTGTGGCTGCAGTCCACGTCTTCATTTACATTGTTTCCTGAGCTCTCAGTAGTGTCTCCTGCACATCTCTGAACTGTTCAGTACACAGTAATTGGGGTGCAATTCAGCCCTGTTTATTCTCCAGCATTGTTGAGCAGAAGATGCCTCTATTAAATTGGCTTCATGGGTAAACAAAGTTGTCAGAGCAGAATTATTAGGTGCAGTCCTGTGGCCTCCTGGGTAAGGTGAGGCACCGCCTCTCTTCCGGAACATACGGACCAGACATCAAGAGGGGCAAAGCTTATTTTCTCCTTTCTGACCATCTCAATTAGGGATGTTATGTGCAGCACTGCAGAAGCTTTTGTAAGAGCAGCTGTTCATTTTAGCTTTATAAATCCAAATGTGCTGCTGCAGATAAGCAAGAATTGGTTCTTTAGAACTCTGGTTTTAAGGGCCACTAATAAAACAAGCTGGTTTTTATTCAACATTTTAGTTACTAGCTGTATTGTATTAGGGACTCAAAAGCTCACAGCTCATCTTCAGTCGTATTTTAATACTTCACAGTTCTGTGAGTTGTTCATCTCCAGAAATAATAACTACACTATACAGACGCACCCTGGGTTACGATGGTCTGTGTTAAAATATTCTGACTTTACGATGGGCAAGTGTTTTTCACTTTCAGTACATGATTTAATAAATTACATGAGATATTCAACACTTTGTTATACTTATTATTAGGCTTTATGTTAATGATTTTGCCCAACTGTAGGCTAATGTACGCGTTCTAAGCGTGTTTAAGGTAAGCTAGGCTAGGCTGTGTTTGATAGGTTAGGTGTACTGTATTAAACTGTATTTTCACCTTATGATGTCTTCGCCTTACGGTAGGTTTGCCGGAGCATAGCTCCATCATAACCCAGGGAGAGACTGTATTCATGTCACTTTGGATCCTGTTTGTTATTATCTGGGATTTTTAAAACCACGTTAAAGGGGTAAAGATACAGCTGAGAGGTGGCACCAAAAACAGAGGAAATCTGGCAAGGATGAGGCAATGCAGAGATGCATTAGACCCCAAGTGGGAGATGTATAAGTACCAAAAGCAGAAAAACCCAATACATAATAACAAGAGAATGGAAAAAGTATAGGCACCAAAATGAACAAATAAAATCACAAACAGAATTAGACTGATGGCTTGCAAACCGTGTTCCCTAGCTTTACAATCTAGATTCAGTCTGGACCTAAAGCCAGACAACCTCCAAATGACTCAGGCTTTGTTCCGTAAACAGGTTGTTGGTCAACCAGACCGAACCAAGGGCAACTCCATTACCTCAATCACTTAAATCACAATAAACCATTCTCCTGCAGTAAATCATTCCTTATTACATAAACTACAGTTACCTTAGCTACATTTTTACCATGCCATTCATTTCTTGCCGTTCTGACAGCCCCATGGTTCCATCTTTCTGATAGGAAACAAAACTACAACTCCCACCAGCCACCAGCTTGATAGATGACACTGTAACAAAAAACACAAAACCATCAATTAGATACATACTTTGAAGTTCAAATTCAATTTATTTGTATAGCTCATTTCAGACGACCAGACTCGACACAAAGTGTGTACAAATCAGAAACACAAAGAGGTCAAACACATATAACATCATGACACTAGACAGCTCCTACATTGAATTAAAAGCCAAAAAATAAGAAGGGTTTTTTAACCGAGCTTTAAACGTGGACAATGTTGGCGAATATGCGGGAGCAGATTGTTCCACAATGCTGGGCCTTCAGCCTAAATTTTGGGATCACCCAGCAGGCTTTGGTCTACCAATCTCTTTGAACAATGTAAAAAACACCTTTAAAATGATCTACACATCTTGTTGGCCACCATGAACATAGTAAGATAGTTAAGAGGACTTATGCTTGTGTGTTGCTGGTGTTTTGTTTTGCATTTGTGGTGCAGTGTAATAGCTGCAATAAGACTGACTTTAAAACAAATTATCTGTTTTTGTCCCTGGTTAAATTAGACCCATTGGAACAGACATTCACAAGACTGTTACAAGGGGAAAGTATCTCTAATTCAGCTAATATCAGTGGAGTCTAGACCAAAGTCATGGCCCCACCTCACCTGGCAGAGATGGACTGAAAGGCTCATTAATCAACTACCGAGTCACAGATGCGATGGGTTCCACAAGCTGCCAGTGGACTGTGAAAGTCACATCTAGCAGACTCCACTGTCAAATGGCCAGGCTGCTGCAAGCTGCAGTCTGTGAGGACTGCTCATTTACAACTCTGCAAGCTACAGTCTGTGAGGACTGCTTGTTTACAACACTGCAAGCTGCAGTCTGTGAGCACTGCTTGTTTACAACACTGCAATCTGCAGTCTGTGAGCACTGCTCATTTACAAAACTGCAATCTGCAGTCTATGAGGACTGCTCATTTACAGTACAAAACTGCAATCTGCAGTCTATGAGGACTGCTCGTTTACAACACTGCAATCTGCAGTCTGTGAGGACTGCTCGTTTACAACACTGCAAGCTACAGTCTGTGAGGACTGCTTGTTTACAACACTGCAAGCTGCAGTCTGTGAGCACTGCTCGTTTACAACACTGCAATCTGCAGTCTGTGAGCACTGCTCGTTTATAAAACTGCAATCTGCAGTCTATGAGGACTGCTCGTTTACAACACTGCAATCTGCAGTCTGTGAGGACTGCTCGTTTACAAAACTGCAAGCTTTCAAATCACTTCTTCAAGAAAATTGAATGGTATTACTCAGTTTAGCGGCATCAACAACCTTCACAGTTTCACCCTGGTAATTTAATTGCTGAAAATTTTGGATGGAAATTCTTCGGCCGTCCCTATGCATTCCAAAGCAGCTCAAGAGTTTAGAGGCCTACAGACCTTCACTGTTCCAGGTAAGCACCCACTTTCGCCCCACCTCCACCTGTTTCTCAGTCTTTGATGTTCAGATGGAGGATCAACAACCTGTCGCAACAGATGGGCCTTCAACCGATCTCTCCGGTGAATCCTTCGCCAAAAATAAGCATGAATTTCCGACAACCACAAGTCGTTCTGAAAGCCGCTCGTAATAAATTTAATTTCTGAGCTCATACTTCACCAAAAGGGATTTCTATTTCTATAAAGCTGTATAATTCATTAGGGTGACGCAGGTTAAATCCATAATGTCAGCTCACAACAATGGGGCCCTTCCTGGTCCTTCTGGTTATGAGGATAAATCCTTCACTATCCTTCTGTCTGAATCCATAACCTAGCAGGCTCAAATCCCAGTAGGTAGACGTCTGTTGTACCCTTGAAGAAAACCTAGCTGTACAAATCATATACCATGTGATTCACTATGGATTTACGAAAATGCAGTCAAAGTAGTGGCACAGACAATTATGCGCGAGAGACGCGGCTAGTGTGTGGTGTCAGAGATCGCAAAATATGCAGCGCCGCTGCAATTGGAAACCAAAATCAATTTTCCGCAGCCACTTCTGATGCAATCTGCCACACATTGCCTCCCACATTCGGTTTGAGTCACAGATCCCGTCCGTGGTTGAGTGGAACTTCTCAGCCGCTTCAGCTGCTTGGCCCCGTGTCTGTGCTTCTCCCAGCAGGGGAAGCCTGCCCACAAGGCTGCAGGATCACCACGGCTTCCCCATGTCCAGTCCTCTGTTAAACATCACGCTGACCATCACTCTGGCTATCTGCTTGAGTGTCAGGCTGTCCGAGGCTCACATGCCCTACAGTCCAAGAAGACAGAGAGCTGGTAGAATGCAGGTCGGGCCCCATCTGTCACACAGCTCCTGTCTACTCTCTGTTTATTTATCCGACAGAGTTCTTGGGGGAAAGCTATGGAAGGCATTAAGAAGCGAAACATGTCTCGGCTAAATCTCTGACTAGTGTAACAGCCATCTTCTGTCATAATTACGAGTAAATAAATGTAAATGAAAAACAGTTTCACAGTCGTGCAAATGCTGGGGAAGACGTATGTTAGGTGATTCCTACAGCCCTTATTTCTTGTCTGGTTGACTAAATGATGAGCGCTAGGCTGCTTTCTTCTTCCTTAAAAATTGCTTCGACAATTTTGTCCTTTTTGGATGCCCCCCCCCTCTCTTTTCAGAATTACTCTGCTCTTGTTTCACCAGACAATGCATCTAAGGAGAAGAGTGCTCTGGAAATTCTTGTATATGAGAGACGGAGCTGCCAACACTCGGTCTGGCCCTTCCCTTGGGGGGGGGGGATCATAGGACGAGGGGGCGGGGAGAAACGTCAATCCGCTCTTGGGCAGATGGTCACCTGGCCCCCTCTGAAAACCAGGGGTGCTCATGCTGCTCATTGAGATTCCCCACCAGACACCGTTTCTCTCTCCTCTTCTCTCGCTCTCTCTCTCCCTCCAACAAAGAGGATGAACTGCGTCGGGGAGCGGAGGTCATTTGTTGCGGCTGATAAGGAGAGTCTGCCGTCACGTCCACCCTTCATCTACCCTCGAAATATTCATCCACAAAGTCAAAGTAACTATTTACTCGATTCCAGCCATAGGCTCTACACAGGAACGGAGCCAACGGCAGCCAAGCCTGGCCTGTTCAGGTCTCTCTCGTCCCCCAAAAAATGATGATCTTCTTAAGAGTGGAACTGGTGCAGAGGGACGTGGGGCTGGCACAGCGAACGAATGCCAGTGAGGTAACAGAGAAATAAATAAACAAGAGGACGGTGACACGTGTGACGAGGCCACGTGTGACGTCTTGGGCCAGCCGGATGTCAAGGCCGGAGGGGGGCGTCCGTCCATGGCTGCCGCTGACCTCAGACTTGGTGCTTGCGAGACCGTGACGGCACGACGTGAGCGATGGCCCTTGATGGGGGACGTGGGGCGGAAAGGGCCTATGGGGGCGGGGCTCGCAGCATCGCCGCAGAATGTGGGTAAATTTCCGCCCCCCACCTGCCCTCCCGTCGACCAACCCATCGCTTCAAGCATTTGTCATGCCACTCTCGCCCCCGGGGAATGGCCTGTTTGACACTTGCCAGGGTGTGAAGCGGGGCACATCCCCATTACGAGACACTGCACTAAGTGGCAGTGGGCTATAAGAAGATTTTTAGCCTTTTTTTTAATTTTAAAGCGTCTTTGATTTCTTTACGTCACGTTCCTGGAGTTCACGCACTGCCAGGGTAAATTTAAGCCTGGGCAAAATGTGACGAGCTATATGGGACTTTTGCTAATGAATTTTGCTATTAATAAATTGTTCTTACCGCGCTTCTGATTACATAAGGAAAAAAAATGTCATTTTTACTAGGTCACTGGAAGGCAGGCTGATCCCAGTGTCGTGAGTTTCCCTGCCCAGTTCCAAAGGCTGGCCATCGCTGGGGCTGGAAACACTGCCACTGCTTCACTGCTTCTTCTCTTTCCAGTTTTGTCCAGGTTTGTTTCATATGAATGGATCGATGGCTACCAACTTGCCCCCCCCCCTTTGATACTTCAAGTTATTTTTGTATTACTGTATCCAATCTCTTGACCAAATATCAAATTGTTTTAGCCAAAATGAAATAACCTGCAAGGATTGAGGATTGTAAAGCAATCGGTAATGCTTTACAAATACTGCACCTTCATAATGCCTTTATAATGCATTCATAGAACATTCAGTGCACCTTCATGATACCTTTATAATGCATTTGTAGTACATTCAGTGCACCTTCATAATGCCTTCAGAGAAGATTCATAAGCAGCATAAGTGTTGCACTTCAAATATTCCTCTCTGTCATTGTTTATGTATCTGATATTTACATTTTTGCTTAAGTTGACTTGTTATATCTTATAACTTGTTATATAGTAATTTGCTGCCTTTTGCCACAGTCTGTGTATGACACTCCTGAAGAAAGAATCAGCCAAGTCAGTATATTTAAGACATAACTAAGTATCTATAATTACTCTTTTCAATCTACTGTTCATTTTTTGGGCCTACCCGTTAGCTAACGATATATCCTAAAAATATCCTGGGGAAGTTAATCATAACTTTGAACTTGAGCAAAGAATTCCACCTTGTGCTTGTATTAAGACTGTGGCAATAGTTTTAATGATATTTAGCATTGTCAGTTATCCGTTTCATTGTTTTTTTTTTGTGCTTTGCGATAGCACGTCAAAGTTAATAAACCGAGAATATGTCGTAGTCAAGATTCATTCCGGGTTAAAATTTAATGGGTCCCCGAGAGACTTATGAAACAAGCGGTAATTAGAACTGTTTCCACTGACAAACACGTGCTTCCGTGTCCGTAACACGAGAGACAGCGTGGACACCCCCTTCGTGGGCGGACGGCAGGTGAGGGGGAAGCCGGATGCAGGTTTACAGCAGATGTAGAGGCAAATGGACTTTCTCGAGTTCGTGCCATCAGATGTAACGCGTAGCGGGCAGTAGGAGACATCAAAGTCGCCGCCTGCAAATGAAGCTGTCAGAATTCTTGGCAGCTGAATCCCGGGGTGGATTTTAGGCTCACTTTTAGAATTACTTACACAGAATGTCAAAA